GAGAGAGAGAGAGAGAGAGAGAGAGAGAGAGAGAGAGAGAGAGAGAGAGAGGTTTGGGGAAGGTGGTGTTCGTAGCCGTTAGACACTTCGAGGATATGGCATGGTGGGGTCAGAGAGGAATTGGAGGCAGAGAGGACAAAGGTGTTGGAGCACTTAACCTTTAGGCAACGGAGGCCCAACAGCTCATGGTGTCAAGGGGCGAAAAGGGGCAGAGAGCGCTTGAGTATTCTGTAGAAGAGGAAGATGTGGAGGGAGAGGAGTGGGGAAGGAAGTGGGGGTGCAGTTGGCGGGGGAAAGCTTGAAAACTTTCCCGCCAAAAAAAGACAAGTCCTGCTCCGATTTCTTCTCAGTTATCCGCTTGTCTGACTCAGCTTCCCGCCATCGCGGCCAGCTTCCCGCCATCCTGCAATCCTGCCATCGCGGCCAGCTTCCCGCCATCCTGCCAGCGAGGGACTGTGGCGCTAAGACTTCTCTCTTTCTCTATGATGACGTCAGATTGCCACTTGGTTATGTGTGATTTCGTCTCTGCTTGTACGTCGTGTGCCCTGTTTTTGGCATTTCCCGCTGTTGCAAACGCACACAAGCCACGTGTAGGAAGGGGAGAGAGAGAGAGAGAGAGAGAGAGAGAGAGAGAGAGAGAGAGAGAAGGGGGGGCCAAAGGGGTAATCATGTCTTGTATAGGGGGTCACCTCTTGGCTTGTGTTGAGGTAGGGCGAAAACGACACGCGAGCCACGGCAGTGAAGGCTGATTTCTCTCGAGTGGGAAAATAATACTGAAAGCAATAATAGTGTGGGGAAAAAGAAAGTTTAAAGAACTCAATTAGGGTTTTCATGGACGCGAATGTCTTTCTCTATGACTAGAGGGAAAGGTACTTTCTTTGTTGGTTTCGGCTTTGCCCTCTGTTTTTTTTTTTTTTTTTTTTTAAATTTATATTATGAAAACAACTGTTTGGAGCTCCGATGCCTAATCTGTGAAAGAAAATGAGCCCGCACATATATTATATCCATTTTTATTTATATATTTTTATGTATATATTTTTATTTTTATATATATATATCTGAACAGGGGGAGTTGTAAGGAAGAAGATCGAAAAACGAATTCGTTTTTTTTTTTTTTTCTTTTTTTTTTTCCGCTTTTGCGCTCCGATTTTCATGTGACGATATATATATTTGTGACGATATATATGTATATATTTATTTACTATATATATAATAGTAATAATAAAATGGTATTTGTGTAAAGATTGATTTGTGTGCGTCGTAATTTATGGGATGATGATTTGAGAGGAGGCAGAGTAGATGAGTGGTTGTGTGTTGGTGGGAATGATGTTGACATTCAAAGTCGTTCCGCACGTGGTCACGATATGAGCTTTAGATGCAGACGAAGATGAGTCGAGCACTCCACGCTGTAGCAAGCACAAACAATAGGCTCAGCGGCCAGATAGCCTGAAAAAATGGTTATTAATGATATCCGCGGTTAAAAACAGCATGGAAAACGTCGAAGAAGAAACTGGCAAAGCCCCATCTTTGGAGGGTGTTTTTATTTATTTATTTTTTATAAGCAATTCTGCCCTTTTTTTTTAACAAGCCGGGAAACGGGACCGGCGTCCCGTACATAGAAAAAGATGATTGGATCACCCCATTGAGCTTGGCATCACCGGCCTGGCGCAAGAGGGTGTCCAGAAAGGATATCTTATCAAGTGAAAAAGAAGAAGAAATAAGTAGGCAGCTTAAAAAAAATAATAATAATAAAAAAAATCAAGTAGGCAGGTTTGATTTTTTGGATGATTCTGCTCCGGGCAGATTAGATGAGTGGTGGTGTTTTCGAGGAGCTGTGTAGGATTTAGGGCTTTTTAGCTTTTTACTCTCGACATGCACAAAGGACAACATTCATGGCGGTGTATCCTTCCATGTTCTTGCGGAAGATTCACTCTCATTCATGGCGGGGTGTATCTTTCCATGTTTTCGCGGAAGATTCACTCTCATTCATGGCGGGGTGTATCTTTCCAAGTTCTAGCGGAAGATTCACTCTCATTCATGGCGGGGTGTATCTTTCCATGTTCTAGCGGAAGATTCACTCTCGTTTTGCACGTTTCGAGAGTGGTGGAGCGAGGCCCTTTTTCATGGGTTCTTGTTGTTGTTTCGGATTTTGTTTCCCTCCCTCTCTCTCATGTTTGTAAGGGCATACTCACACTACGGTAGCACTTTTCACGGATGTACATGGTCGCTTTTTCGACCTGGCCACACTGCACCTAACCGCCAATACGTCCACAGAGAAGGGAAAAAAAGTAGGAATAGGGAAATTCCGACCTCCTAAATAGAGCACTACAGCAAATAAAGATAAGATTAATAAGTTTAACCTGGTGCGAGTATACTCCCCCCCCCCCGGGCCCCCCCCCGCCTTTTTTTT